TTATTGTGCAAACATCATACACAAAACTAGCTGGTATAGCCTACTATACACCTAGGCTATGTGGTATAGCCTATTGCTCATAGGCTACAAATCTGTACAATTGTTATTGTACTGAATACTGTAATCAACTGTAACACAATAGTAGGTATTTTTGTGTCTCAACATATCTCACCATAGAAAAGTTACAGTAAAAATATGATATTATAATCTTATGGGACCACCTTCACATATTGGTCTGTGGTCTGTTGATGACTGAAACATCATTATGCAGCACATGACTGTATTGTATTAATCATGTTTACTGTGTGGACTCTTCTATCATTATTCTAAAACTCAGAGATCACAAGGAGTTCATAAAAAGATCACGAGGTCAACCATTAGTAGCATTAAACAATTTAGTTTTGTTTTCTCCCTTTGTTCTATGAATTTTGTGTGAACTATTATATAAGCTAACTCTAGAACTTGTGATATTTCAATTTTCATTTTGAAATACACACTTCCTATATGCGTGTGTGTGTGTGTGTGTGTGTGTGTGTGTTTCACTATCATTGACTCCTGAGACTGGGAACGGCCTTCTTGTGCCATATATATATTTAACAAAATTTATTAAGTATATCTATATATACTCAACCAACGTTCTTTTATTCTTTTTATCCTTTTTGAATCTATTTCCTCCTGAGTAGGTCATATCCCTTTTTCATATTGTCCCAAAGTGCTTGTATTTGTATTTGTAGCACACTTCACAATCAGATTTAAGCAAATAATGTTGTCATGGTTTTCAGAAATAATCATCTCTTCTACTGGATGTCAACTTTCAAGGCCAGGAAGTTTATAACCTGGCATGATGCATATCTCAAATGGTCACCAAGTAAAGATTTGTTTAAAGGAAGAATTTATGTGTAAATAATTATCTGACATAACTTTTTAAAAGAAAAAGGTAAATGAAGAGGAAACAAAAAAAGACCAAAATTTTAGTCAAGCAGCCGAATTGCTAGTTTTAGTTTTAGGGCGTTTCTTTTTCCATCTATTCACTGACAGCAGCAGCACTTTTAGTCTTGGTAATCGGAAGTTGATGTTAAGTTGATGTTTAAGGGCTAATAGATTATCATTCAAGAATATCCCTACCTTAAAAGACAAGTAGAAAACTAATTTCTTCTCCATTTCTGAAGTTTTGCTTTGGAGAGCCTTTTCAACGTAATCCTCAAATGACTACAGAATTCTTCCCACTAATGTAAACCATCATGAGAGAATTCTGATTCATTAAAATTGGATTGTAATTAGCAGAGGGTTTTTTATTTGTTTTAATGTTGAATACCTTTGAATATGTTTATTAAATTTAAAAATGATGATGTCAGAGACCAATACTCCCATTATCAATGGAATCATTCATTCAACTTAGAGACAATTCAGAGGCTAAATGCTGGAACTTTTGCATTTCACTGTCATTGACTCCTGAGATTGGGAAGGGCCTTCTTGTGCCATAGGCACAGCAGGCATGTCATTATAATCACAACTGATTGAGTGGCCAACTGAAGATCAGGTGTCCCTGTCAGAAACCTAACCTTAGTCTTTTCTCTATTAACATGGTTCCATTTGGAACTGTTGCTTAACTCAATACGTTGAAATATGAAGCCAACTCACTTTATCACATATTTATTGAGCATCTACCATTGTGATACATATATTGCCAGGGTTCTAACAACAGAAAAAATGAACACCAGATACATTGTTTCTTTGACAAATTTACATTCTGGCAAAGCAAGAGCATAAATCACTGAAATAAAAAGCAGAGTGAAGAAAAAGCTTAAGAGACATAAACTGACAGAGAAGTCAGATACCATATCTATTTGAATAAATCAAGTAAGGCTTCATGGAGGAAGTACCACACTGAGATGAACATTGAAGGATGGGTAGGACAGAAACAGATGGAGATTGGAGGTAAAGAGGGCCTTCTATGAAGATACGCAGCTGGAAGAAACTGTGGGATGCATTTTTATAAGAACAGCAAGTAATTCCATTTGAATAGGGTATACGTTACTTGTGATGGTATAATGGAAAATGAGTCTGGGAAGTATTTATGTCCATATTACATGTGTGGATTGTATTATGTAGGTAATACAAGACTGACTAAATAAAAGTCATGGCTTTGATACCAGTTGTTGCTGCTTGACTTGTCTTGGTTCCGAGATGGTAGACCATACTTCCATCTATACTATATGAAATTAGACATTAGAAATTCAAGTCTAGACCAATTCATGACAATAGCTAAGTTCCTGTTTGGTATAGTTTTGCTTCTTTTGACCTTCTACCACAGCCCCTCCCTCTTATGCTTCTCTGATCCCATTCCTAATGAGAAATGACTGATAATGACTTGACGATTGGGTAGGTGGAGATAACCATTCTAAGGAGGATTCTCATGTTATCAGGGGGAACTCTTAAAGTAAAAGGCTGTAGGACTGTAAAGAATCACATTATAATGGCAGTATGTGAGGTAGTAGGGTAAATACAGGCATATCTCAGAGATATTATGGGTTCAGTTCCAGACTATTGCAATAAAGTGGGTCACACTTTTTTGGGGGGTTTCTCAGTGCATATAAAAGTTACATTTACACAATATAGTGTAGTCTATAATGGCATTAAGTTATTAAAATGTATATGACTTAAAAATATCATGTGGCCAAAAAATAAACATGATAATCTAAACTGTCAGTGAGTCATAATCTTTTTGCTAGTGAAGGGTCTTGTCTCAATGTTAAGAGCTGCTGGCTCATGAGGGTGGCGGTTGCTGAAGGGTGGGTCTGCTGTGGAAACTTCTTAAAATAAGACAATAAAGTTTGGTACATCCGATGACTTTTTCTTTCATGAAAGATTTCTCTGTAGCATGCAATGCTGTTTGATAGCATATCACCCACCAGAGAACTTCTTTCAGAATTGAAATCAGTTCTCTCAAACCCTGCAGCTCTTTTATCAGCTGTGTATAGAATATTCTAAATCCTTTGTTGTCATTTCAACAATGTTCACAGACAATGTTGTCATTTCAACAATGTTCACTAGTGGTAGATTCCATCTCAAGGAACCGTTTTCTTTGCTCATCCATAACAAGCAACTTCTCACCTGTTTGAATTTTATACTGAGGTTGCAGCAATTCAGTAACATCTTTGGGTTCAACTTCCAATCTAGCTTTCTAGCTATTTCTACCATATCTGTGGTTACTTTCTCTACTGAAGTCTTGCAACTCTCAAAATTATTCATGAATGTTGGAAGGAACTTCCTTCAAACTCCTGTTAATGTTGGTATTTTGACTTCTTCCCATGAATCATTGATGTTCTTAATTGCATCTTGAATGGGGAATTCTCTCTAGAAGGCTCAATTTACATTGCCCAGATCCATCACATAAATCCCTGTCTATGGCAGCTACCACCTCATGGAAATGTATTTATCAAATAGTGGGACTCAAAGTAGAAATTATTCCTTGATCCATGGGCTGCAGAATGAATGTTGTGTTCATAGGCATGAAAACGTTAATATCCTTGTACAACTCCATCACAACTCTTGGGTGAATAGGTGCCTTGTCAATAAGCAGTGATATTTAGAAAGGAATCTTTTTTTTTTTTTTCTTTTAGCAGTAGGTCTCAATAACAGGCTTAAAATATTCAGTAAACAGATGTGCTCTTATCCAGGTTTTATTTTCCCATTTATAGACCACAGAGTAGATTTAGCATAACTCTTAAGGGCCCTAGGATTTTCAGAATGGTGAATGTGTACTGGTTTCAACTTCAAGTCACCAGCTGCATTATCCCCAAACAAGAGAGTCAGCCTTTGAAGATTTGAACTCAGACATTGACTTCTCTTCTCTAGGTATAAAAGCCTTAAATGGCATTTTCTTTCAAAATAAAACTGCTTCATCTGCATTAAAAATCTTTTTTTGGCCGGGCACGGTGGCTCAAGCCTGTAATCCCAGCACTTTGGGAGGCCAAGGCGGGTGGATCACGAGGTCAAGAGATCGAGACCATCCTGGTCAACATGGTGAAACTCCGTCTCTACTAAAACTACAAAAAATTAGCTGGGCATGGTGGTGCGTGCCTGTAATCCCAGCTACTCAGGAGGCTGAGGCAGGAGAATTGCCTGAACCCAGGAGGCGGAGGTTGCGGTGAGCNAGCCTGGCATTGACTTCTCCACTCTACCTATGAAGGACCTAGCTGGCATCATCTTCTAATACAATACCATTTTGTCTACATTGAAGGTCTTTTTTTCTGTAGCCAACTTCATCAATTATCCTAGCTTTAACTTCTGGTTAACTTGCGGCAGCTTCTACATCAGCACTTGATGTTTCAGTTTTCACTCTTATGTTATGGAGATGGCTTCCTTCTTTAAACCTCATGAACCAGCCTCTGCTAGCTTCCAACTTTACTTCTACATCTTTCTCAGCTGTCTCTGCCTTCACAGAATTGAAGAGTGTTAGGGCCTTGCTCTGAATTATGCTTTGGCTTAAGGGAATGTTGTGGCTGGTTTGAACTTCTACCCAGACCACTCACTTTCTTCCTATCAGCAATAAGGGTGTTTTGTTTTTCTACAATAATTTGTGTGTACACTAGAGTAACACTTTTAATTTTCTTTAAGAGCTTTTCCTTTGTATTCAAAACTTGGTTAACTGCTACAAGAGGCCTAGCTTTAAGCCTATCTCAGTTTTTTTACATCCTCATTAAGCTGAATACTTTCTAGCTTTTGGTTTGAAATGAGAGACTTGCCACTCTTCCTTTTACTTAGAGGCCATTGTAGGGTTCTTAACTGACCTAATTTTAATATAGTTTTGTCTCAGGGAATAGGGAGGCCCATGGAGAGGGAGCAAGATGGGGAATAGCTGGTGGGTAGAACAGTCAGAACAACACAATATTTATTAAACTCTCCATCTTCTATGGAAGCAGTTCATTGTTTTCCCAAACAATACAATAGTATTCCCAACAATTACAATAGTAATGTCAAAGATCACTGACTACAGGTCACCATAAGCACATATAATAATTATCAATTTTATTGTGAGAATCATGAAAATTTATGCAGAGACATGAAGTGACCACATGCTTTTGGGAAAAAAGATGCCAGCAGATTTGCTCTACACAGCATTGCCACAAACTTTCAATTTTTTAAAAGTGCAATATTTGGGAATCACAATAAAATTAAGGACAATAAAACAAGGTACACCTGTAGACTGCTGTGGAAGGACACTGATGTGGGCTTCTCGCATCATATAAAGTAGAACAGCATGTACATATCTTCCTTCTGTGGCTCACAGTGGTCATTGGTAGTAGGAGTGACAGCCTGACTTGGAATGTAGATGGCTCAGGACAAACCATTCCCAATAGTGGAAATTAATCAAGGTATAGGTGCTATGCTTTGTCAGTCATGTTCTTGGTATGAACTAGTGAAGGGGCATGAGGCAGAATAGTGAAAAGATAACTAAAAACCAGGCAGTTCTGGGTTTTGAACCCAGATCTAACTCTCAGTTTTCACATTTATTAAAAATATAGCAATGGGTACTTGAGTTGTAAGAGCCATTCTATCTCCCTAATATCATATAAGAAGGCATATATTATGGGATGTTCCTCTCTGAAGTTCTGAGACATAGAAGAGAGTCAGCTGTGAAAGAATTCAGGTTTTGTGAAAGTGACACCTTTGATAGTTTCTTCATGACACCTGTTCACTAGAGAGGGCTGTCGCAAGGTGAGAGTCATGTACAGATGACTGACATGGGAACTGGGGACCCATATCTTCAGGCAGCTCCATAAGGTGGCATTCTGTCAGGAAGATGTTCTGCTGGGCAGGTGGCACCTGTGGGTCATGCTGGGGGTGCCAATGTTTGTGGAAAGAAGAGATCACATTCTGGAATGCTGCCTGGAAGCGGCAAGACAGTAGGTTATAGATAATGGGGTTGACAGCTGAGCTCAGGTAGAAGAAGACACCTGGAATGGAGGGGATTTAAAAAGATGTGCTGAGAAGAACTTGAGTGATGGGCATGAAGGGAGAAGCATAAATATTTACAAAGGCTTAGAATCTTTGTGATTGCCTCTTTTGGAAGTGATAATACATATAAGCCTCTAATTGAGAATACAAAATGCTCTGAATAGATCTTCCACCTGTGCACTTAGCAATCAAACACAAAGATTAAAGCATCTTGGAGTAATTTAGGCTGACATGGGATCTCCCTGAGATGTTCAGCAACTTCCTTTGATCCCTACTTGTTTAATTAAAGAACATGTTTCCATAACATGAATGAAAGATGCTTAAATATCAGAGGGAAGAGAAATATTTGTATCTCACTGGAATTTTACTTAAATATATAATTTGGAATTGCAAGTAATGGAAGAAGGTAAATCAGCCAAGGCTTATTCCCTTCTGAGATTCCTTATAATGCTAAGATATGGCTTCAAAGAAATGTTCCCTAGTGTGCTGTTCCTACCTACCCTTTTCCCTTCATGGCTCCTCCACCTTTTGAATAATTGTATTTTAGCATTTATTTCCTCTACCAATTACCCTTCACATTGTCATTTACCTGTTTGGAATACACTCTATTTTATTGCCTTTTAAATTTTATTTCTCTAACCCAAAATAAGCCCAAGTTTGGGAATCAGAGGACCTAGTTTCTGATCTGGACCCTGACATATCCTGTGGGCTTAGATGAACCCTGGCACTTCAGTTTCTTTCTCTGTAAAATGGGAATGCAACTTCCAGCCTAACCTACCTCCCTGGGTTGTTGTGAGGGTAAAGTTAAGTTACCAACCACAGAGAGGCTGAGAATGGCTAAGAATGTAAAACAAGTGATAGGTACTATTGCCAACAGGTTCCTTGTTGTCCTCATTGATGTAGTTCAGGACATTCAGAGTGCCATATGCCTTGTTTACAGAATGGACATGGAAGAATATTAAAGAAGAACATTTTTATATATTGATGCTATTTGCTCATTCAAGAAATAAATACTGACTTAACTTTTATTATGTGCCATGAACTTCAAGGCACATTGAGAGACAGTGAATTTAGACTTTGTTCTCCAAGGTCTTGGAATAGTACTGCAGAAACAAGATTTATGTTTAAATTAAATAATTAACAATACAACAATACCAAGCAGTATCTGTTAAGAACAAATATGAGCTACCAATCATGCTATATAGCAATTTATATGATAGCAGAAACATAAGGACTGTGATGGCCATAAAAGATTTAGTTGGGGGTGACTGAACCCTAGCTAGGCCTTGAAATGGGAAAGAGATAGTTGAGGAAGACAGGAGAGGGTTTAGCAGGTAGAGGGCACAGCACACACAAATATTCAGAGGCAGGAATCGCCATATTGTGCAGAAATAATGTCCAGAACTCTGTAATTAACCAGTTTGATATGTATATTGTCTATGAATAAAAATAATATAAGTTGAAGGATTAAAAGGCAAGTTGGGGGTATTTTCTTTTTTCCTTTTTTTTTTTTTTTGACAGAGTCTCACTCTGTCACCAGGCTGGAATGCCATAGTACAATCTCAGCTCATTGCAACCTCCAGCTCCCGGGTTCAAGTGATTCTCCTGCTTCAGCCTCCCAAGTAGCTGGGACTACAGGCACGTGCTACTGTGGCCAGATAATTTTTTTTTTTTGTATGTTTAGTAGAGATGGGGTTTCACCATTTTGGCCAGGATGGCCTTGATCTCTTGACCTCGTAATCCACCTGCCTTGGCCTCCCAAAGTGCTGGGATTACAGGCATGAGCCACCACGCCTGGCCCATTGGGGTTTTTTTTCTGTAGGGTTTAAGAGATTTAGATTTAATCTAATATGCAATATAAAAAAGGGGGAGATGGTATCTAAACAGGAAAATGTCGTTATTAAAGCTATAACTCAAAAATCGTAAGGTAATTGCCTTGATGCTTCCAGAGGTATGTACTCAACTAGTCAAGTCACATTTGACCTTGTAGTGCTTTCTCATGTATTTAAACATTTCTGTTTTCGGCAGATTAACCAAAATGATTAACTAAGAGGTATACGTATTTTTGAGCTTTGGTTGCAAATGGACGAACAGGAAAGCACTAATGTCCAGGAATCAGCTATACATCAGGCTGCTGAGCACAAGAAAAGACAGTGACAGAAAATAGATAACACACACAGTATTCAGCATAGATGTCATTGTTTTTGCTTTGTGCACATCTGAAGCTTAACTTGTAAAAGCTGATCTTATCTTTTCTTTCTGTTGATGTCTTGAATAATCTAATGAGACCATAGAATCAGCCAGTGACCAGCAGAGGTTGGGGGGCGGCGGGCAGAAGAGGTCTGAGCCTAAGGCTAACGCTGAATTAGCTGTCAGTGACTGAAAAAGAAGGACCTGGAGGGGGGAGCATTCTCTGCTCCATTTTAGAAAGAACACTGAATTTGAAGTTAGAAGACTTAGATGTTTTATTTGTTAGCTAAGTGCCTCATGGCAAATCATTTCTTCTTGTGGACGTGTTTTATTTTTGACTATACAAGGTTAATCATAATATCTACCTAATGACCTTGTTGTGATGGTTACAGAAAGATATACAGCAGTTACAGCTTAAAAAGCTCTTTAATATCTATTGCTGCATTTGATTCTTACCATCTGTCCAATAATGCCAGCAGGCATTATTGCCATTTTACAATTGAGGAAACTTTGGTGTGAAGGCAGGCACATTCTCCAGATTACTCAGAATAGCAATGGTGAAATTGGGGAGCAAATTCATATCCTCTGACTTACTGATCTTTCCACCATGGTTTCCACAATATTCTATGGTATTCTCAACAAGCAGAGTTATAGAAGCCTAAAAGGAGAACTTGATGACCTACAAATACCTTCTCATTTTCCTTCATGAGGATCTAATACTTCCCGAAGGCAATATGAGATTTTAGGGACGTGGGCGTTTATTAAGTACCAACCAACACAATTGTATGGCCATTTGAAGGATAACCAAAGAAATCACTCCTTGATTGTTTTCCTTCTCTAATTATCACACTTAGAGTTGAGGTTTTCCATAAAGTAGCCTTGCAAATAGTGATCTGGTATATATATGTATATATTTGGACTAGTACCAAACATAATCAATCTTTGAATAAAAGAAAAATCAAATGTCTTCATTATAGCACGGCAGATCCCCACAATAAATTGGTGTACTTAGGCACCTAAGCAAGATGAAGAAGGAGGTGCTGTTACCCGAATACTAGTCATGCAACCAGTCCAGCTAAGGTTTTACCTGACACCACGTGGATGAGGTTGAACACCGCAGCCAGGGATTCAGTCCACTCCTCCACAAAGCTGAAGAAGAGTCGATCAATGTGGAACGGGGCCCAGCAGATAGCAAACACTAAGACCAAGACAACTGAAAAAAAAAAAAAAAAAAGATAAATGGGAGAGCAGAAGGCAGTCTGTGCAAGCGTAGGTATACAATGCTCACTCTGAGTCAGTCATTTCTTCCAGCAGGTTTTCCCTTCACCTTTGTTAAGCTACAATGGTTATATAGGCAAACTAGATCCCAAAGAGCCTCAGTACAGAATATTTAAAATATAAGAATGAATTGTATAAGATCTAGGATCAGTTTTCCATAGGATTATATCAGATTTCTTGTATAATGTAAAACATTTTAGAACATTTAAAATACTACTTAGTTTATTTTAAAGTCCTGAAAACATTTTATTGTGAAAGATAGATAAATAATAAACTGTTAAATGTATATATGATTTTATTTTGTTATTATGGGAATAATTAGAAGTTACTTTGAATTCAGTAATTTACAATTCTGTAATGGGTAAGGCAAAAGGCAAAGGAGAAAGAAGAGATCGAACAGCCACAAGCATAATAGTACTTTACAAGTATTGTTTGATTGGAAGGGATGTGTCTCTAATATTTTAAATTGCTACAGTGTAGAATTCCTTCCAATTCTTATTTTCATCCTGAAAACGGAGACTCGTATTACTGTAGTTTCTCTTTGGGGCATTTAAGCTCCACAAATTTTTAAAAAAATCACTTTATTTCCCTTTTGAAGCTGTAAATACTTTCCTTTGCTATGACATGATGCTTGGGATTTGCCTAAAGATTGTCTTTTGGGGCTAGGGGGGAGATAAGGGTACATATGAAACAAGATTAGCTATGTGGTGATACTTTTTGAGGCTGAGTGTTGGGTACATGGGCATTCATTTTACAGTTTTCTGTACTTGTGTACACATATGAAGTTTTCTTAGTAAATAGTATTATACATACATTTCCTGTTGGCATTAAAATCATTCAGAGTGAGTTGTTTGCCTGTGTGATATGGTTTCAAAGATATCTGTAGGTTTCTACCGAATTTGTCAACCCAAGAAAAGGTCCTAATCTGTTCACTACTGCCTACACTCCTCTTTAATTAAAACTTTAATTCCTATTGGGCATGGTGGCTCAGGCCTCTAATCCCAGCACTTTGGGAGGCCGAGGCAGGCGGATCACCTGAGGTCAGGAGTTCGAGAGCTGCCTGGCCAATGTGGTAAAACTAAAAACACAAAAATGTCCCTACTAAAAATGTCTCTACTAACAATACAAAAATCAGCCAGGTGTGGTGGCACAAGCCCGTAATCCCAGCTACTCGGGAGGCTGAGGCAGAAGAATCGCTTGAACCTGGGAGGTAGAATTTATAGTGAGCTGAGATTGTGCCACTGCACACCAGCCTGGGCAACAGAGCAAGACTCTGTCTCATAAACAAACAAACAAACAAACAAACCCAACTTTAATTCCTGTTAAAATTGAACCCCCTCCCAAGGCAAACACTTTATATATATTCTGTTATTGTTACTGTGACTTTAATACGAGTGAGCTTCATGTCTTTTTGTGAGAATAGATTATGACCAATGAGAAAAGGAGAGAGATAATGAAAAAACTGTGTTTCTTAATAGGGAAAGTCAAATGCCAATAGGAGCTGAAATATTTCCCAGAAGATAACTCTTAGAATCAAAAAGAGCCCTTTTGGGGACCTCGGAGTTTATTTTTTGTTCACAAATGCTGTATAGCTACAGTGAATGTTTCATATGCATATTAGCCCAGAGGATTCATTTCTTCTAAACTTTAGATTTTGATTTGCAAAATATAAATCTCCTTTCCCTCATCAGTAATTCTCATACAGTAGTGCTGCATCATATATTTTTATAACATTCTTTTGGGATAGTGTGGCTCAGTACAGTGAATTTCTTAAAAGATCTTATTTATTCAAAAATATACTGTTTGAAACAAAGTTATACAATGTCATATGTGAAATGACTACTTAGAGATGCTTGCTAGATGTTCTTAATCTGTAACTGAAAGATCCCATGGAGTCTTTGAGTATTGGGGTTGGTTCATTACCTCCTGAAATGAATTGTAAAATCTTTTGTGTATGCGTATTTGTTCATATTTTTTTTTGAATGAACACTCCACAGCTTTCATCACATTTTAAAAGAAATCCATAATACAAATAGGTTAAAAACCTGCTCATTCCACAGAGGGGGAAAGTGAGGCCCAAAGGCTCAGAAAGTGAATGTAATTTACCAAACACCACACAGAGTGTATTTCAGTGGATGAAACTGAGCATGTTGTTTTGAGGGTTCAAAACCAAAAATGAAGCAAAACAGACAGGTCCTAGAAGCTTGATGAAGCAAAGGAAGACAGGTCACCTAGCATCGATACAGACCATTAACGAGGGGTCTTCATTATATATCTCTCCTCTTTGCTCCTTCATCTTAATCTACTCTCATAAATACTCTGTTTCAGGATAAATTTGAACCTACCCTCAGCAGCACGTAGTCGTTACCAAATGCAACTCCTTCGCGCTTACAAACAAAACAAAACAAAAAACGAAATGGAGCACTTACACAGCATCTTGGTGACTGGTTTTCTGCAGGGTCTTTGAATATTTACGGTACCTTCATCTGCCTCAAGAGATTTGTCTTTCTTTAGCTGAAAGGAAAGTAAGTTGAGAGAGATGGTAAGAAAGAGAAATATTTTTCCTCCTGTTAAAAGCTGAGAAACCTAACTCTATCCCTTTTTTGAAGAAAGAAAAACTAGGACCTAGAGAAATGTGAGAATATGTCAAATGTTTAACAGTATGTTGAAGGTGGAATTGAATTCAGGTCATCTACTCAACTGGATAAATGAGTGTGACCAAGTAATAGTGCAACCATTTTTCATATACAGTTACGTGGAACCCTGGCTATGTATCATGTTAATAGGTGTTCCATGAAAATTTAAAATTCTGAAGTTCAGGAAAAACTAGAAGGGCTTTTCAATTCATTCATTCACTCATTCCTAATTATTAGACATCTGTTAAAGAGAAATCCCTCTGCTATGTGGTAGATTAGTAGTAGAAAACAAAAACAGGAATGTTTCTTGTCACATCAGTATTTACTGTGGATCTTCTCAGAGACTTAAATCTGGTGATGAGCATTATGAATTTTCAAGAGGGATAGTGTATTGACTTTCCATTTACCTTCCTGCTACTTTCCACACACATCGCCTACCCACATCCCAGCCAAAAGGGGGATAGTGCTTCTTTGACTAAGCAATATCTTCCCTTACCCATTTTCAGTGGATTACCTTGTACCATGTGACAAACACAAATTGAGAAATGTTGTTTTAATATTACAGTAATATTAATTACTGAAAAGAGTATATGTGTTTCTGAGTTAAGATGTTTAAAATGTATTTATCCTTTTTGGAAGATAATAGAGATCCTTAATGTAGCATTTGAAAATTTCAGCTATCAACACTACTTGTATGCACAATTTTTCTTGCCCAGTTCAAGTCCTGCATGTTCCTGAAAGACTTTGATGGCCAGTTTAGCCCATTGTCCTCTCCTTCCTTTGAACTCCCACGACACTGAAGATCTGCATCATCCATTCAGTTGTGGAAGTTTTTCTCTTTATTCTACAATTTTTTTAATTTGTGAGGATGCTTGTACAAATAAAGGAAGCTTTAAAAACTCATGATAAAACACCATCAAATATCCAAAAGTTAGTATAGTATAGTACATAGTTAACATACATATTTGCTTGCTGGTTCTCTAGAATTTATCTCTTTCTTCTCTTACTGATAGTACCCTAATTTTCCCTTAGGGAATGTACTTCTTCCCCATTCTTAGTCTTTAATTTGAATAGAAATATTATTCAACTTCAACTCCAGATATATATGTCCCTAAATAATTTAGCCAATCAGCTTGTCCTCTCCTCCAGTCACAATGATTGAATAATGGGGGCCAATGAGATTTCAGATATTTTCTTTTACTTCTGGGGATATAAGTTTTTATTTCTTTTTTATTGGGACTGCCAGAGGGAGTCCTTCTCTGCCAATGAGGTGTGGAATTACAAAAGTTACTTTTCTTTCTATCGCAAAGAAAAAGTGCTTGGGGCCACCAAAGGATGACTGTATGCAGTTTGAGGTTGAAACCAACAATATAGAAAAAAGAGCAAAGAAACAGAAATAAAGCTAGTTTTATAATGAGATTGTGTGTTTTATTTAATTAATCTTCACCAAGAGGTAGCTCTGCTTCTGAACTGTTCATGTCTGCGTTCCCCCTTGAGATTTACCCAGAGTTGGAGTCTCTCATCAGCAATGTAAAAAGTCCAGGCTAATTGATTGAGGCCATCAGATTGGAGGATAATTTAACTTAATTTATATAGTCATGGCGGTAGATTAGAACCAGTCTATTTAGTTACAGGAGATAGATTCTAATTCAAGGTAAGGAAGAAATTGTTATTATGTGCAATAATGGAACAAACTACTGTAAGAAGCAATAATCTTCCGGGGCTAGACAGCATTTTGAAGGAATATGTCAGAAAAGATATTTAAAATTAAATAGACTTGGAAGAGTAGGTCATTAAAAGTTGCCTCTAAACTTCAGCAAATCCACATCAGGTCTTCCTAACAAACATATATGCCCTTTGCAGTTCGGTAGCACTCAGGACCACATGGGCCCCAAAGTACCCTCTTGGATAATGAATAAACCTGGCCATTTGTCTCTTGAATACATTGGAGTGCTCTACATGTATCTGTGCCTTCATAAAGTAAAGAATTAAAGACTCTGTGAGGTTAGGACCAGACAGGAAAATTCTGAAGGCAAAAAGTGTTATTAATACAATAGTAGAACAAAATACTGCAGGTACAGTGCTTATCTCAGTGCCTGGCACATGATACTCAGCAAATTGTTTATTATTGCTATTATTGTGATTCTGATTATTATCTTGAGCATACTAAAGAGACATCAGAAAAACTGAAATTTAAAAACAGAGTTGTTTGTGGATATATGAGGAGTTACTTTTGTGAAGTACTGAGACCCTTCTAGAAATTCTTCTCTCATGTTGCCAGTCACTCACAGGGAGTGCTTGTACTGATACAAAGAAAGAGGCAGATACACTGAGAAGAAAAACACATTTAAGGTTAGACCAATGCACCAAACTTCAAACTTCACTAACTCATTTAGATTAAATCTATTAAAAGTTCTAATTATTTCATGCATTTAAAAAAGATTGTGGTTTTTACAAGATGCAGTTATTCTATTTTTTTATTTCGGTCAATAATTAAGAACAATAAAAAATACTTAGATCTGTTAGTCACTTCCTGAGTTGTGTTTAACAATTCTCAATGGTAATTTCTCCACCCAAAGGAACAATTTTTAAAAATCAAACATCAAACAAATAGTCCACACAATTCTTCTATAAACAGGCTTCCTGTAGAAGCATAGTTTACACTAAAAAGAAAATCATGTGCTGATGAATTATTGCTTATTTTGTAGCTTCATTGGTTTATAATGACACAGCTAGCTAACTAGAGGAAGAACGAAAAATTGATTACTTATGTATGGTGTACACTGTTCCAACAGAATGTGGAGTGGTTGCTAGAATAGAACAGAATCAAAACGGTTTGCCTAGCCACCATTAAGTGCTGCTTTATCATTGAATAATTTAACTTCGCTACAGATGTTTAGTAAAGTAGATATTCAACCATTCATTATTCTTCGCCACCCCAAAACTTTTTTTTTACAACTCAGGTTAAAAAACGAGGAGTGAAAAATTGTGATTGCTATTAATAAATATGGTGATTACTAAAAGTTGTTACTATTACTAAATAGTGTGATTACTAAAAATTGTGATTACCTTCTTTAGCTACATAAGAGCAAAGTGAAAGGGAGGTTTGTGAGGTTATTATTCAGGTGGATTCATTATGCTGATCATTTTTTTTATACTGCTTGAAATCACCCCACCAGATGTTCATTTACGTAGTTTGTGGGACTTAGTTTCAGAATACAAGATTATAATATAGGTTTTGTGTAAATATCCCTATAATCTTAACACAATATATTTACTAAACAAAAAAAATTTAAAAATCAGTGCAACCCTGTGTTAGCATGATTGAATTTTGCTGCAATTCATCCATCCATCCTTAACAGCTCAGTCATGAATGCAGCATGCAGGAGATGTAAGAACTAAACCAGACTGTCACCAGAACTTCCTCCCAGATGAAGAGGAACTTGCCCTAGAATTGTCTGTTTTCTATCTCAACAATGTTCAAACCCTGGAGAGCAGCTCAGTAGTGGCTGTGTTCCGGAATGATGCCGCATGACTGAATGTTGAGCTGTGAGGACAGATATGGCTTTCCTCTTCTTCTCTCGTTGGGTGATTTCATCAGCCTTGACTTTGCTGCCTTCTGAAGCAATGGGTCCCAGAGTCAATCACACCTTCAAACTTTTCAACAGAGTCAATCTTAACAATCATTAGGATTGCTTGGTATCTTTGAGATGATATTGTCAAGCCTTCTTTTTTTTTTTTTTTTTTTTAAGGTAGAGAGGCTAAAGCCCAGAAATAAAGGAAGTAATTTAACCTCATTCATTCACTGAGCTTATAGGAGAAAAAAATTAAGGAATCCACAAATATGGAATTATAAATTGTAATGAAGGAAAATCACTGAGAGCTATAAGCACCTACAACAGCAAACAGGAATGTTCAGGGAATTTGGGAGAGCTTCTCTGAGGAAATGTGATTGAAGTATGACATAAAAAATAAATGAGAGTTAGAAAGGCAAAAGTTGTAGTGGTGGCAGACAGTAGGAACATTTCAGGCTATAGGTATAGTGTACATAAAGGCCCTGAGGTCAGTGACACAGAGTAGGTCCTACTTTTCCTGACTCTCAATATAGAGATTTTTTAATTCTTCTAGGATTAACTTTCTAAGCAGTTAGTTTCTTTCCTGGTGTCCTCTGGTACACTGGATAACAGCTCATCCTTCCCGAAAACAGGCTGTCAAAGGTTGCATTGCATATGCAAAGCAAACCAGGGTGGTTTTTAAACTTTTTGTCTGAACTGTCACTTAGCTCCTGATATAAAGTAGCCATGGATTTTTTTAATAATAAAACACAATGAAACTGATTGTAACAGATTGGAAGAGAAAATGTGCATTTCCTACTCAAAGTTAAATATTTTTCCCAAATTTACTCCATATAGGTGATTGATTGACATTGGAAGAGATAATACTAAGTTCTGGATGGGTATTTCTCATAAGACTTTCTCTGGAATTGTATAGAAGTCTTTTCCCCTCAGTGAGATGTGTAGGACATTCTTAAGACATGTCTGTGAGCTAGTGCAGGGTGGCACATGTCTCTGGGAATACAGGTGCCAGACCTCCAGGAGGGGACTGGCACAGCTCTCTGCCTAATTAGATTTACTCTTGTGCCCAGATGTCTGTGACACTTAGAATTTGTACTTCCTACTTAGGCCCTGCTATTCACTTTAGGGACAATAGGTATTCAAAAGGACTACCAGTGGGACACTCAATTCTGACAATCACCTTCTCAGAGATGGACTGAAATAGGACTATATTAGTTGTCACATAATAATGTATGATGTCAGAGCCATCTCAAAGCAATTGATGTGAGTGTGATGTCTGCTTGTCCACTCATTTAAACTTTACATTGCTTCAGCTCACAGGAGTTTTTTTTTTTTTTTTTTTTTTTTTTTTTTTTTTTGGGTTCCTGGTCCATTTCCTTCTCTAATTACCATGGCAGTTATTTTATACCTTCACTATTGTCCTTAATCACTTTTTTTTTTTTTTTTTTTTTTTTTTCTTTTTTTAAAGGAATTATAGACTGTTAGAGCTAGAGGGGACATAGATATGATCTGATGTGACCTTTACATTTTATAAATGGGAAAACTAATTCCAGGAGAATTTTGTGGCTTGCCTAAAGGCATATTATGTGTCAGCTGTAGATCTAGGAGTCTAAATGGTTTCATAACTGTTTACTACGCAAGCTATAATACCTCCCTTAAGTGGTGGTAAAATTGTCATTGTCAAGAACTTTTCTCTTGAATGAATTTAGGTACAGAATATACCAGGAGAGGAAATATATAGGCTCATTATCAAAAATAGTTTCTCTCAGCTAATTTAGACAACGCCCTCTCTGAAAATGAAATCAGTTTACCACCACACACATAGGAAAATAATCTCTAATTATATAAGATATGTTGCAAAATAAGTGATACCTTTTTCTTAATTTCAGATAGCTTTTACTTCCTTATCTCTCAATCTGCACCTGCTCAAAAGAAGCTCAAGTTATCTTAGTCAGATCATTTATATATATATGTATGACTGAGGTAACTTGAGCTTACACACACACGCACACACACACACACACACACACATATACACACACATATATGCTGAGAGAAACTATTTTTGATAGGAGTAGGAATGAGTCTATATAATTCCTCTCCTGGTATACGTGTGTATGTGTATGTGTGTGTGTGTGTATATATGTTTGTGTGTGTGTGTATATATATGGTTTTATTTTGTTTTGTTTTAATCTCATTTTAACCAACAGTTCAGAGCAACCACAAGGAAAGGTCTGACTTTAAAACTGAATACCTGTCTTGGACTATAAAATAGGCAGAGATAGTTTGTATTATACTCAGATCAAGCTGATATAGAGGGAAATCTCAACGCAGGCAGTGGCCAGGCACTGGAAAGTTACAACAGGATGTGGAGGAGTCTCTCAAGGTGTGGCCACCTCACCCCAGATCGACTGATGTGCTTATTTAAAATGAGGCCCCACCTCAGACCTACTGAATCCCATTTTCCTGGGGCTGAAGTATGCATACTGCTACCCAAAGTAAGTTTTCTAGGTGATTCTTAGGAACATTTAGATATGAGAAACCCAAGAACAGAGGGAAGAAAAATAGAGGATGAGTGAAAAAAAATAATTAATAGTTGTGTTTACTACTCCTCTAATTTGAGGCAAGTCCTTTAATGTCTCAATTTCCCATCTGAACTCATTCTATTTTTCTCTTTGTTCCCTTCCATTTCTGAATTTCCCCAATTCCAAGTTTTCCTCTGAACTTTGAGCCTGTGAAAAAAGAAGAGATGGCCAGCCAGCCTGGATACTCACTCTGAGCCCCATGAGGTAGTAGAGGACACTGATGACAGTCATGGGAAGGATGTAGAATAGGAAGGAGGTGACCTGGATGATGAAATTGTAGATCCACATGGGCTTGATGACTGTACAGGTGGCTGAGCCTGGGATCAGGGACCCATTGGGGAAGTAGTGGAACTTGATGCCGTGGATGCTGGTGTTGGGCAGGGAGGAGAGCACAGAGAAGCCCCAGACGAAGCCGAGGATCCTGAGGGCCCGGCTCCGGGTGCTCTCCAGCTTGGCGCGGAATGGGTGTAGGACGGCCATGTAGCGCTCCACGCTGACCGTGGTGACGCTGAGGATGGAGGCAAAGCACACGATCTCAAAGAGGGCCGTCTTGAAGTAGCAGCCTACGGGCCCAAGCAAGAAGGGGTAGTTGCGCCACATCTCATAGACTTCCAGGGGCATTCCAAGAAGCAGGACCAGGAGATCAGAGACCGCCAGGCTGAAGAGGTAGTAGTTGGTGGGTGTCTTCATAGCCTGGTGCTGCAGAATCACCAGGCACACCAGGACATTGCCAATGACCCCCACCACAAAAATCGGCACGTACACCACAGATACGGGGAGGAAGAAGTGGCTGCGCCGAGGGCCGCAGAGGAAGGCCAGATACTCCTCAGTGCTGTTCAGGTGTTTCTGGAATGGATCTTCCAGTTTCTGCTGGTGGATCCAGGAAGCATTCTGAAGTTTTTCCTTTCCTGACATCAAAATTCAAGACCTGAGCTTCCCCGATACAAGGCTCTGTTTCAGGCTGAGCAAGAAACGAGAAAAAAAGAAGAAAAGAGAGAGAGAGAAAGAGAGAGACAGACAGCAATCAGGAAAAGCACAGGCTCAGTGAGGGAGGCTGGGAGACACTGTTTCAGCCTCAAGGTTAGGCTGCCTGGACCGCGATCCTTTCTGAAGAGCCGCCGAGACACAAGCCCCTCCCTTCGGCAGGCTGAGTGCCAATGAGAGTGTCAGGCTGCACTAGAAGAGGGGATTGCTGGCTTCGTGTCAGGGAGCAGAGGAGGAGGCAGAGACCTCTCTCAGAACGGGAAGGAGCTGAGAAAGCAGAGCTGACACAGAGGGGGCCGCTCTAACTTCCTCGGTGGGCACTTTGAGCAACGCATGTTGCAAAGTTGTGGGAATCTGGGTAGACGTAGGAATTAAAGTTGCAGTGTCATGGGCAAAAGAGTATCAATTTCCATTGATCCTTGTCAGTTGCACGGCATGGTGAAAATGGGAGATCAATAGATTTCTCAAGTTATCTTGTTCCACTGGAAATTCGGGGCTCTCTGGGGAAAACATGATCAATGTGACTTTGGTTTTGACTTCATCAACAATAGAATCCAAAGCCTAAAGGGCACGTGCGCAGTGCCTAGCCCTGACTGCTAACTGACTCTTCAGACTCTTTTAGCAGAGTTTTGCTGTAAGCAGAAGGCAAATGGACTTCAGAACCAGGAACATCCATAGAATTTTAGGAAAGTTGCAGTTACCCAAACTCTTAGAGGCTCGTTTCCTTATCTGCATCATTAATTTGATCGTGTTCCACAAATAACTTCTTGAGGATTCACTGTGTGCCAGGCAATGTTCTAAGCTTTGTAGAAACATCAACGTACAAGCAAGACAAGGCATCTGCCCTCGTGGAGCTTTTCTTACAGTAGGTAATTCTGAAAACATGCAAGTAAATGAATACATTAATCATATAATTTCAGACAGGAATTGATAAATAATTATCAAGGATGGTGAAAGGAAACATATCTCAGGAGGTATCACTTTAGCTGAGGTTTGAGTAATGAAGTCAGTCATGAAAGAGCTAAGGAAAGCGTATTACTCAGCAAAAGCAATAGGTAGCGCAAAGGTCCTGGGGCAGAAACAAGCTTGATATGTTTTAAAAATATCAGACCACAATAACTGGAATTTAATAAGTGGTTAGCAAAGTAGATTCAAGTGGCTGGCAGGTACAGGTTCACGTAAACTCTTAAAGGCTGTGGAAGAGAGTTTGGCTTTGATTCAAACTGCAGGGAGAAGTCTGTAAAGGATTTTGCACTGGAGAATTAACAAGGGAGAAATTTTAACAGAAGGTAGGTAAGAGGCTAGTAAGACATAGTAGTGGCTTGGATTCTACAAGCAGTGGAGTTGAGAGATTTCTTTGGATTTAGGAGTATTTTTGCAGGGGATAATACTTTTTATGGTCATTGAGAAGACTAAATTATATATAACAAAGCAACTTATACTTAAGAGATGCTCGCTAAATGTTAATTTTTCTTTCCCTTTTATTTGTTAAATCAGATGATGACATTAAAAATTAGAGAGGGAAAGTGACTCGTCCAAGGATAAGCCATCCATCAAGTTATAATAGTGTATGCTGCTATAACAAATGATTGCCATATCTTGGTGGGTTTTTTTCTTTTGTTTGTTTGTTGTTTGTTTTTGAGACAGAGTCTCGCTCTGTCACCAGGTGCCAGGCTGGAGTGCAGTGGCACAATCTCAGCTCACTGCAAACTCCGCCTCCCAGGGTCAAGCAATTCTCCTGCCTCAGCCTCCCGAGTAGACGGGACTACAGTCATGCACCACCACGCCCAACTAATTTTTGTAGTTTTAGTAGAGACAGGGTTTCACCATGTTGGCCAGGATGGTCTCGATCTCTTGACCTCATGATCCTCCCGCCTCGGTCTCCCAAAGTGCTGAGATTACAGGCGTGATGGTGGTTTTAAACAATAAAGATGTACTTCTCTCATACTTCAAATGTATTGAGAATCTGTCTCATGCTATACTTACTCTAAAACCCAGGCTGATGCAGTGGGTTTTAGCTGGAATTTTGATGATCATTGTGATCGAGGAAAAGAGAACTCTAGATGGTCTTAATTAGAGGCTCTAGCCCAAAAGCAAGTAACTCATTGCCACTTTTACTCACAGCTCATTGACCAAGGTTAATCATATGTACCTGCTCAACCACAGCAGGGTCAGGAAGTGCTGTCTTAGCATATGCACAGAATATTGAAAACTAGAAAAAATTGATGAATAACATTAATAATAATTATAGATATGCAATAGTTATTGCAGAGCCAGAATTAGAGCCCTCTAGTTAACGGCAAGTTTTGTTGTTAAAATTACTGTTTACAAACTTTAATATATTTTTCTGATGAAATAGGAAAAGTTTAATAAAAATATCTCATTTAGATGTAAGGATCTTTAAAATTATAAGGGCGTACAGTGGCATAATATAAACAGCATTGTGGAAGATGGAAAATATTTCTTTCTTTTTAAAAAAATATTTTTCCATAAGTTATTGGGGTGCAGGTAGTATTTGGTTACATGAATAAGTTCTTTAGTGGAGATTTGTGAGAACCTGGTGCACCCATCACCCGAGCAGTATACACTGCACCATATTTGTTGTCTTTTATCCCTCACCCCCTCCTACTCTCCCCACCAAGTCCCCAAGTTCCCAAAGTCTATTGTATCA